AACACACCTCCAGGCTGTGTTAGGCTATTTTACCAAGAAGGAGAGTGATGGAGTGCTGCATCAGATGACCTGGCCTCCACAATCCCCCAACCTCAACCAAATTGAGATGGTTTGGGATGAGTTGGACCGCAGAGTGAAGGAAAAGCAGCCAACAAGTGCTCAGCATATGTGGAAACTGTTGGAAAAGCATTCCAGGTGAAGCTGGTTTAGAGAATGTCAAGAGTGTGCAAAGCTGTCATCAAGGCAAAGGGTGGCTATTTGAAGAATCTCTAATATAAAATTGGTTACTACATGATTCCATGTGTGTTATTTCATAGTTTTGATGTCTTCACTATTATTCTACAATGTAGAAAATAGTGAAAATAAAGAAAAACCCTTGAATGAGTAGGTTTGTCCAAACTTTTGACTGATACTGTATGCTGGAGTCAGAGATAAAAACTCAACAAAGAATTAACATGAGAAAAAGGAAACCCACGTGACAAGTTTTTGCATTTGTTTAATACTCCTGAATACAGAAAGATGAACAGCACGGTCAACGGAAAGAGTCAAACAACAAAGAAGCAGTGTATATTGGTGGGAGACAACGACAGGAAATCTCTAGATCTAATAAAAAAGAAAACAGCTTTTCTTGATCAACAAATCAACATCTGATCAAGTGAAAGTGTCCCGCCCTATGCCCCACCCTAAGCACTTCTCCAACTTTGAATGCATTCTTTCAACTGGAGAGCACGACCTCCCTCCTCAAAGAGTGGCATCTACCATGTTGAGTTGGCCCTCCCTTCAAGTTCATTCCATGTAATGGGACACTATCCAGAGGCGTGACTTCAGTGCACACCTATAGGGTCTATGCATTGGCTCCACTTTTTTTCTCAGCTGAAGCCAAGGTTTGCTGGCAGTGTCCAACACATATTTTTCTACGTAAACACTCCTGTTTGCACTGGACACAGAAGACCCAAATAGCCAAATTATCTGTGCACGTTCCTAGCTTGTAACTCTGCCCTCTTGGCAATCAAAGCAAAGTCGACCCTTAAAAAAGCACCAACGCACAGCATAAGCACCATATGGGCCACTGGCCCTCACCCCCCTGACCAGTGCCCTCTCCCCTCTTGCTGTGACACCCTTCTTATAAGGGGCCTTTAGTGACAAAGCACACCACTCTGAACACTCTCCAGTCAGCCATGGGACCTCCGAGTGGCACAGCATCAACGCTGGCCTTCACACCTGTTTGGCAGTGTTACAGGGATGGCGCAAACCAGCCAACCGCATGGGGTGTTTTGATCATTGCAGAGGGCCTTTGCTCCAGGGTGCCTAGGTAAATAAGTATTGCACCCTGCTAGATACCAATACATGACAGCTTCACAGCCCCAGTTTAATAAAGAAGCTTTTTTTTTTTTTAAAGCAATTGATTTCAAAAGTAAGTTGGAGATACTGAATGTAATCAAAGGTCCAGGCGTCTGCCTTGAGTGCACGCGGTCACGAGGGACACGCATCTTTGGGCCGTACGCCGGCGGTCTGTCTCCAAGAGAGACGACCGCCGCCACACTGCCATCAAGTAATACCAAACGGACATTGCACTCCGTTAGCAAGGGAAGAGGAAGGGGCTGGGCAACGTGTATGCCAATTTACACTCCTTTGCTGGCGCCTTGCTATTCTGTGCATCTCTTTGTTTTGTTGAAAACCTCTCTCCATGCTGCAGCACACCCGAGCTTTCTGGTATAACCAGAACAAGGCTTCATTGTACGCAGTCAACACAGTGACATATCAACAATCTGTACAGGCAGTTTAAAAAATAACTTGACCATCTTCTGATAAACTGTGTGCCTGACCAACTTGAAAATGCTTAGCTTATAAAACCTGTAGAATTTGTATAGAGCTGTTATACGTATACTTTACAGTACTAAATAATCTCTGCTCATAGCAAAACTGCATTTTATAGGATAAGATACAGCATAGCAAGGGATTCACTTTAAATGCACTGTTTTAGCACTAGAAGAGGCAAGTGAGCAATTTTGACTCTATATGAATTTTAAATTGAAATATCGCTGTCCTTGACTTTTCCTAAATAAGTCTGTTTAACACACATATTTTATAATAAAGACATCCATAAACACAACCAAATATTATTTATCTGATAGCATATATGAAATGTACTTGTTAGACTTAAAATGTTGGAGTCAAAAGGACTCGTTTTGGCTTGAAGGGGGGGGGGGGGGGGGGGGGGGGGTCCCTCGAGGCCAGACTTTTCTAGTGTTAAAGAAATGGGAGGTGAAAGGCGTTCACATTCAACTGAGGAAGCTCCAAAAAAACATGAGGGAATTGCAGAAAGGGCTGTTGCCCACGCTGAGGATGCACACATATAACATAGTCTACCCTGTGGGACTAAATTCGTTCTACTCGTGAATTTTATTCTGCAGGCATTAATTCTGAATTTGATTCAGAGATCCCACTCTGAAATCTGATGCGACAACAAGCGACCACACCTCTTCTCTGTACATTCACAATCTGGACACTGAGGAACAGAGCATGTTCACATGCATAGACATACATAAACTGACAGGTATGTAAATAGTCTACAGTGCTCCCATTGCCTGTTCACAGGCTTGGAGTAGGACACACAGGTATAATCCCCCATATCCACATTACATGGGGGAGGCGTTCCTCTCGTCAGAAAGGGCTGACTGCAAGTCAATCTAGGGGATCGGCTGAAAATAATACAGCTGAGTGGGAATCCTATTTTAAGTAGATCTGTTTCAAGATGGAAAAAGGTGGAGGGTGTGTGTGTACTTGCACACTCTTAGCTTTGTGTGTGTGTGTGTACTGTGTTTGCGTTGGTGTAAACCAGAGGAGGCTGGTGGGAGGAGCTATAGAAGGGCAGGCTCATTGTAATAGCTGGAATGGATTTCATGGAATGGTACCAAACACATGGAAACAACATGTTTGACTCCGTTCCATTTACTCCGTTCCAGCCATTACAAAGAGCCCATCCTCCTATTGCTCCTCCCACCAGCCTCCTCTAGTGTAAACAAGCACGTCTATAATTGTAAGACTATATGAGTCGTGTAGCACCCAGTTTAGGACAGCTGAACTTCTGTCCAGTAAGTGATACAGCAATCTCTATTGTTCATCATAATTTCTGTTCTGAATAGTAAATACTACCAATCTCTAAATATACTTCAGAAATGACACATCTAAATCCCACAATATACCCTTATTCTTTATGCATCCACCAATATTGCTCACGTTGTGTGTAATGATGCTCTTTTAATATTCCTGTTCATAGTTTGTATCTATCTAATGTGTTGACATCCAGTTCTGTTATGGGGAGCTGAATCGGTCCCTGGTGCATAGTTTTGTGTAAGCAGACCACACATTACAATCGCAGTAGATGACTGGCACGGTCACCCGCTGAAGCCAGCCAATTAGCTCCACGCTAAACAGGAAGTATTGTCTGAGGCTGGGCAGCCTAAGGGGGTGGGGTCTATCGCCCTGCACGTGACACTGCCGACAGTGGCCTGAAAGAATACCATCACAACTACTAGCGACCTACTAGTACTACTAGTCAGTGACAATGAGGTGGGTTTTTCAAGTTTAGAATCCAGTCTATTGGTAAAACCCTTAAAGTTGTTTTTTTTGACAGTACATGTTGAATGTGTACAATAGCTGTTCATACTGTAGCTCATGCTATCGGTGCATACATGTTCGCTAATCATGTCTTCCCTACTGTATGCATAGATTGGGATTGCCCATTCATACTCTAGTGAAGGAGTAGATGTGTCATCTTATTTACATATTGTAAAACGTTAACGGAAAGAGGCTGCAAGCACTGGATGAAACAAGCAGAGGATTCAGAAGGGGGGTTGTAGGGGTATTGTAGGCCAATAGAACAAGATATTCAATGATATCCTGGCTTTCTTAGAACGGACGGCTATTTCACAGAACGAAGCACGGCCATTAACATATTGGCTCTTAAGAAGACATATGATGAGAGATGGGGAGAGGTTCGTTCGATGACATGGTCACCCACAGTTTCTTAAAGATGGGCAGAAGGGTTTCTGCAACAAATGTTTACTTACACAGTAACGTTTCAAAGAGTGCAAAAATGACCATTAGCAAGGAAAGAGGGTATAAAACAAAATAAACATCTACAACAGCACCAATGACGCAGTGCTCTTGAACAAGGTTGCACTTCCTGTGCCCAATGGCCCTTGAAGAGACCAAACGCCAAAATTAAACAAAAGAAAACATCCTACAAGTCACTTTTTTTCTTTGAAAGCCTGGTGTGCGCTTTAAGAAGGGCCAACCAAAGTGCCCCCTCCTTGGATTTCAATGCCTGAAAAAGGTCTCATTTTATGAGTACAGTACTTCAAAACTAATTCTGCGCATTTCAGCGTGAATAAAGCATAGTATTCAAATCACATTCGGATTGGTGAACTGTGAGGGGCGTGTCTGCCTCCGTTGGTTGTGTCCCGACCAATAGAAGCTGGGAAAGTTGGGCGACTGTTGATTGAAATATTACACACATGATTATGACGGGTTTGGGGTAAACCCAAGAGTGAAACCAAAGTAGAGTAAGAGTAAGCCTATCACCATATCTATGCGTACAGCAATGTATCTGAATAACTACGAACCCCACAAGAAGCTGAGAGGTCTACCGGATATCGCAGAAGCATTTATACTCAAAGTTGAAGGCTACAAACTGAAGACTAACTCATGATAAAACTTGTATATGCGGTTAAAAATGAGATATTTCCATGTGTCTTAACCCCTACTGTGAAAAAGTGTGTGTTTCTGCGTGAGTATTGGAAAAAGTGTGTGTTTTCGACAGCATATGGTATTTTGGAGCTGTATCAGCTTGGGGGGGGGGGGTTTGATGGGTGAAGAAGGGGTGGTGGGGTTGGTGTGAGCGGGACGTCAAAACCAGCAGACACGGTGAAGCCCCTGAACCAGGGTGCCAGAACTAGAACCACTGGTGCAAAATGGACCAGAGCAGAACCTGGCTCCTAGGTCAGCTGGTGGGGCGCCTCCAGCATCTCCATGAGGAACGTGTCGATAGGGGTGTCGCCAATCAGCTTGAAGAAGAACAGGTGCTCCAGGCACTTCAGGCCAATGGAGCGCAGCGCTGGCAGCCGGAGGAGGAGCTTAGCGAACCTGGGGCGATGGGGGCAAACGAATGAGGTCAATCATGGCGGTGACGTGGGAGTAGTGTGTGGATAGGTGCTATAGTATGTCTGTGTGTGCTTCTCTTTTACCTGCCCTGCTGGTCGGGGTATCTCTGTTTACAATAGGACTCCAGCGATGCGTACACCTTCTCCCTCAGCAATTCCACTTCACTGGAACTGGACAGGCCCTTGGCATCTGAACGCAGGAACAAACACCGGCATTATAGTACTGAGAATCATTAACGTGCGATTCTTCCTGACATCATGCTATATCTGGGATGAAATGGCTTATCTTGCCTCAAATCATTATTTGAGCTGAAATCATTACCTGGGTTGAAGAGGATGATGGCTCGGAGGCAGCCCAGCTCGGTCTTGTCCATCTGCATGTCTCTCATCTTACTGACCAGCTCAGTAAGAACCCTACAACCAGGGTCAAGGAGAGGGAGGTGTGACAGAGGGACAATAGAACGGGAGGAGATGGGTTAGCATCTGCTCTAGGGCTCACCACAGCTCCACTCGATGCAGCAGTCAAATAGAGAAATTAACACAAGGGCAGGGGGCTTGGATACAAGTCTAACATCCTCTTTACACAATGTATTTACACAAATAATCGACACATAACCTATAAAATATAGAAATTCCATCCAAGCAATAGCCCAAACCACACTTTTCTTAGTTAAAGACTACGGCACATCGCAATAATGTTGGGTAATGCAATAATTCAGTAAGGACAGAAAGAACACAAAGGGAGGAAAGTAAGCAGCCTGTGTTTTGTCGACGCTGCGCCAGCGACCAGTCGAGCCTGCGCTCCGACAGAAAAGAGGAGAAACAGAACACAACACTCACTGAAACACGAGCGGACAAGATACACACGACCCGCTCTTTTACCTGGGCAAATTACAGCACTTTCTTTGCCAGATTCGCTCATTCTCAACAACTGGGCGAAGATTATTTATTTTGGGGTGGCGTTATTTGTTTTGTTTGTGTTTGTTGTTGATAGGGGTAAGGTGGGTGTGTAGTGATGTCATTACCTGTCAAATATGGCCCCAACCTCTGCATTGTGCGTACTCTCCCTGTGTATGCAATTACAATGGGTTATTACAATGTTATTACATAGTTGCATTGTTATTACATTGTCCCCCTGCGTTGGTTTGGGCCCAGAGGAACAGGTACACCACCGGTCAAAAGTTTTAGAACACCTACTCATTCAAGGGTTTTTCTTTATTTTTACTATTTTTCACATTGTAGAATAATAGTGAAGACATCAAAACTATTACATAACACATATGGAATCATGTAGTAACCAAAAAAGTGTTAAACAAATCAAAATATATTTCAAATAGCCACCCTTTGCCTTGATGACAGCTTTGCACACGCTTGGCATTCTCTCAACCAGCTTCATGAGGTAGTCACCTGGAATGTTAATTTGTGGAATTTCTTTCCTTTTTAATGTGTTTGAGCCAATCACTTGTGTTGTGACAAGGTAGGGGAGGTATACAGAAGATAGCCCTATTTGGTAAAAGACCAAGTCCATATTATGGCAAGAACAGCTTAAATAAGCAAAGAGAAACGACAGTCCATCATTACTTTAAGACATGGTCAGTCAATACGGAAAATTTCAAGAACTTTGAAAGTTTCTTCAAGTGCAGTCGCAAAAACCATCAAGCGCTATGATGAAACTGGCTCTCATGAGGACCACCACAGGAATGGAAGACCCAGAGATACCTCTGCTGCAGAGGATAAGTTGTTTAGAGTTACCAGCCTCAGAAATTGCAGCCCAAATAAATGCTTCACAGAGTTCAAGTAACAGACACATCTCAACATCAACTGTTCAGAGGAGACTGTGTGAATCAGGCCTTCATGGTCGAATTGCTGCAAACAAACCACTAATAAAGGACACCAATAATAAGAAGAGACTTGCTTGGGCCAAGAAACACGAGCAATGGACATTAGACCAGTGGAAATGTGTCCGTTGGTCTGGAGTCCAAATTGGAGATTTTTGGTTCCAACCGCTGTGTCTTTGTGAGACGCGGTGTGGGTTAATGGATGATCTCCGCATGTGTATTTCCCACCGTAAAGCATGGAGGAGGAGGTGTTATGGTGTGGGGGTGCTTTGCTGGTGACACCGTCTGTGATTTATTTAGAATTCAAGGCACACTTAACCAGCATGGCTATCACAGCATTCTGCAGTGATATGCCATCTCATCTGGGTTGGGCTTAGTGAGACTATCATTTGTTTTTCAACAGGACAATGACCCAACACACCTCTAGGCTGTGTAAGGGCTATTTTACCAAGACGGAGAGTGATGGAGTGCTGCATCAGATGACCTGGCCTCCACAATCCCCCGACCTCAACCAAATTGAGATGGTTTGGGATGAGTCGGACCGCAGATTGAAGGAAAAGCAGCCAACAAGTGCTCAGCATATGTGGGAACACTTATTTGGTTACTACATGATTCCATTTGTGTTATTTCATAGTTATGATGTCTTCACTGTTATTCTACAATGTAGAAAATAGTAAAAATAAAGAAAAACCCTTGAATGAGTAGGTGTTCTAAAACTTTTGACCGGTAGTGTAGGTTAGACTCTGCAGTGCATTTTGGTGCCCAGTTCCACTTCTGGGAGTAACAGGCTACAGGCTCTTGTTGATGGAGACTTGGCCCGATTAAAAGGATTTAGATAGCAATAAAACTACAGGAAGTAAAGCTTGAGGAATGACAAAAATACAAAGATATGACAATGTAACACAGCAATAAATAGATCTGAGACGTATGAGCACAGACAAGATCTAGAGGAGAAAACTTTCATATTGGGTCAGATTGAAATAGGGCAAATAGTTATATGCAGTATTACCCAAGGCCTTTGCTTATCTTGACTACTGTAGTGTTTTAGGCATAATTCCCTGTACATGCGATAATTATCATATACAACTTCCTGGGTAAGTATGCATCATTTAAAAAATTCTAAATGTAACTGGTTTATCCAAATCAGCACAAAAGGATTATGGGTATTAGCATGAGCCAATGACAGTAGAGCAGAAGCATAAACAAATAGAGGAGCGAAATAAATAGTCATTAATAAATGGAACAATGCAGTAATATGATCAGGGCAGTTTAATCATGTTAATCAAATCGATTAGGCATAAATCATAAATGAATGCAAAGAAAATAATATTTTATGAAACAAACAAAAAACAGACGCAAGGATAAAAAAATGAGAATTGAGAAATGTCAACAAAAATAATAAAAAACACATTCACTGGACCACATTTACACAAGGATGTCTAGATTGAGATGAATCTGAAACAAAAGCCTGCAACCGGTTAATCCAAGATATGCTTAAATTCCTGTGGGAATTCGGAGTTTATGAACTATTCATAACAATGTAATTACTGTGTAATAAACAATTAATTCACACAATGTGATGTGGCGACCCTATTGAGTTGGGGTGGGCACGCCTGTTCCTTGAGAGCTGCGATGAGCGCAGGATTTTACTCAAGACAGATGCCATTCCACTTGATTAAAAGCTATTTTACGCTACTGAATAAAATACTGACATATGCCAATGTAAAATGGAATAGATGAGTGTGTGGCTGTGTTTGGGGTGGGGAGGAGTGGTTATCATAGTGAAGCATTAGTCCCCAGCGTCCTGGCACGCTGTGTCATTCTAGAGGCAGACTAAGCAGTAAAGGCTCAGCCAGCCAGACACGCAGCCAGCAGAACCCTGGGAAAAAAGTGCAAAGTTCTCCATTCTCCCTTCAATCAGGAAAATTATTCAGCTCATTTCAACAAATCATCTGGACTCCAAAGAGAAATTGCCATTTCATGAATAGTAACTGTAATAGGCATAATTGGCCACCATTTCAATGCTTCAATGGATGACTAGGACTGAAAATTATGTTCTACAAACACATGTATGGTAAAGTGTATATGACGACATGTATGATAAAACAAAATAAACTGCCATTACTTAACTAGACTGAGCTTAAAACCAATGCAGAATGCTTAATCATTCAGAGGCCCCTTTTTTCCAATCTTTCTCCCTGTTGTTTATGACCTTCTCTTTGAAAATGAACATGCAAAAGGTTGTTTCTATGTGCTTCACCGAGGTTCATCGCACGTGTGTGTGTGTGCCTGTTACCTGTCGAAGATGGCTCCCACGCCGGCACTGTGGGCGCTGTTCCTGTGCACATGCAGGCCGGTGGCCAGTAGGATGCCATCCTTTACGCTGATGGAGCGGTGAGAGAAGGAGGCAATCAGCAGCTCGTTCCAACCTGGAGAGAGGAGAGACCGGGTCATACGTGTATTTGTATTTATTAAGGATCCCCATTAGCTGCTGCCAAGGCAGCAGCTACTCTTCCTGGGGTCCAGCAACATTAAGGCAGTTATTTACAATTTCAAATATTACATGACATTGCATTTCATAACACTTTTCACAACACATTAGGTGTGTGCCCTCAGGCCACTACTCTACTACCACATATCTACAAACCAAAATCCATGTGTATGTGTGTGCATAGTGCGTATGTTATCATTTGTGTATGCCCGTCTCTGTGCCTGTCTCTTCACAGTCCCCGCTGTTCCATAAGGTGCATTTATATCTGTTTTTTAAATCTGATTCTACTGCTGGCATGAGTTACTTGATGTGGAAATGAGTTCCATGTAGCCATGGCTCTATGTACTACTGTACGCCTCCCATAGTCTGCTCTGGACTTGGGGATTGTGAAGAGACCTCTGGTGGCATGTCTTGTGGGGTCTGCATGGGTGTCCAAGCTGTGTGCTAGTAGTTTAAACAGACAGCTCGGTACATTCAGCATGTCAACACTTCTTACAAAAACAAGTAGTGATGAAGTCAATCTCTCCTCTACTTTGAGCCATGAGAGACTGACATGCTGTTAGCTCTCTGTGTACATTTAAGGGCCAGCCGCGCTGCCCTGTTCTGAGCCATTGTAAATGTCCTAAGTCCCTCTTTGTGGCACCTGACAACATGACTGGACAGTAGTCCAGGTGCGACAAAACTAGGGCCTGTAGGACCTGCAGAGGTGGGACCAAGTCACTATTATTCCAGTAACAAGCAAGTCTCAAGTCACAAAGTAGAACGGGTGTCACGGATCCCCCCCGGTACTGCTGGTCATTCTGTTCACCAGTTCCGGAGGTCTACGTCACCGGATTTCTAGGCGTCACTGACATGGATCATTACCACCAACTCCGGACTGTCTTGTCTCATTACGCACACCTTGTTCCCATTCCCCCCTGATTAGTATGTGTATATATGTGCACTCTGTTCCCTATTGTCCTTGTCGATTATAGTCCCATGTCCGTTGGTCTCGTGAGTACCTTGTATAGTGCTCTTGTTGTTTACGTTTCGCGTCCCGTGTATTGTGTAGAGGTTACACCTCGCTCTTTGTTTGGGTTACATCCCTTTTGAATATATATGCGTGTTTGTGTTGGGTGGCGTAAATAAAAACCCTAATACGCATTTCCTGCGCCTGTTTTCAAATCATTATACAACGTGACAGAATAATCAACCCATAAAAATGGAGACAGCGGAAAAGGCAGAGCTGGCGACCATCGTAGAGACAGTCCAGCATCACGAGGACTGTCTCTCCAGACTCGGCAGCGCCATGGACAGCGTGCTGGCAACCATCCTGCGGTTGGAGGGGAAAGTGCAGTCCCTCCAGTCTCCAGCACTGGTTCCGGCACCAGCCCCCACACCACCACTAACTGCCTCCGTTCCATCTGAGCCGGTCCGTGGAATACCCCTGTCCCTCCCGGAGTGCTTTGACGGCGTGCCAGCGTGATGCAAGGGATTATTTCTGCAATGCGACCTGTACCTCGCTCGCTATGCCGAGGCTGTCTCCAGGAAAGACAGGGTTGCCACAGTCATCTTGGCACTGACCGGACGGGCCCTGGACTGGGGTGCCGCGCTTCACCCTCCTCTTCCGCTCTGTGTTTGATCATCCTGTGGAGGTTCGAGAGGGGGGTGAGCGTCTACTCCGACTACACCAGGGATCTAGGACCGCCTCGGAGTTCGCCCTGGAGTTCCGGACCATCGCGGCCTCCACTGGATGGAACGAGTCGGCTCTGGTCACCGTGTTCCGCAGCGGACTGCAGGATGAGATACAGATGGAGTTAGCCTGCCGTGATGACAACCTGTCACTCGACCAGCTCATCAGCATGGCGATCCGGTTGGAGAACCTCCTGCAGTCCGGACAAAGAGCTGCGCGGAATCCGGAGCCCATGGCTACACCTGCTCCGTGGCCAGAGCCGATGGAGGTGTGCTCTGCACGTTTGCCCGAGGCAGAACGTAGGAGGAGGAGGAATCTGGCCCTCTGCTCCTATGGTGGAGAATGGGGTCATTTCTCCCCAACCTGCCCTCTATCCACTAATTGGCGAGGAGGTGACAAGCCAGGGAATTCCCCTGCTCCAACACAGGCAGAGGAGAGGCAGGAAAAGGAGATCCCCATCATCCCTCCATTCCGTATCATCGCGCCAATGGTGTGGGACGTGGACGCCGACATAGGGCAGGCCTTGCGAAAGGAACCCGCACCTGCACAGTGCCAGGAGAATCGCGCCTACGTGCCCACGTGTGCGGGACCACCTCCTTTCCTGAGCGCACACGGCGCCTGTGTCGGGTCATCCTGGGATAGGCTGTACCATCGCCTGCCTGACTGAGAAGTACTGGTGGTCCACCTTGGCTAGGGACGTCCGGGTTTACGTCTCTTCCTGCTCCATCTGTGCCCAGTCTAAGACACCCAGACACCTCCCTTATGGAAAGCTCCTTCCCCTGCCGGTTCCACAATGACCCTGGTCTCACCTCTCAATGGACTTTGTCACTGACCCTCAGTTCACCTCACACATATGGAAAGCGTTCATGGAATGCCTGGGGGTCACGGTCAGTCTCACCTCCGGGTACCGTCCTCAAGCTAATGGCCAGGTGGAGAGGGTCAATCAGGAAGTGGGCAGGTTCCTGAGGTGTTACTGTCAGGGCCGGCCGGGGGAGTGGGCGGATTTTCTACCTTGGGCTGAGTACGCACAGAATTCCCTCTGCCACTCCTCCACTAACCTCACTCCTTTCCAGTGTGTGTTGGGGTATCAGCCGGCCCTGGCACCTTGGCATCCGAGCCAGACTGAGGCTCCTGCGGTGGACGAGTGGTTTCGGAGCGCTGAGGAGATCTGGAACGCTGTGCACACTCGTCTGCAGCGGGCCGTGCGTCAGCACAAGGAACAGGCCGACCTCCACCGCAGTGAGACGCCTGTCACGGATCCCCCCGGTACTGCTGCTCATTCCGTTAACCAGTTCCGGAGGTCTGTGTCACCGGCTTTCTAGGCGTCACTGACATGGATCATTACCACCAACCCCGGACTGTCTTGTCTCATTACGCACACCTGGTTCCCATTCCTCCCTGATTAGTATGTGTATATATGTGCCCTCTGTTACCCATTGTCCTTGTCGATTATTGTCCCATATTCGTTGGTCTCGTGAGTACCGTGTATAGTGCTTTTGATGTTTACGGGTCTCGTCCCGTGTATTGTGTAGAGGTTACACCTCGCTCTTTGTTTGGGTTACATCCTTTTTGTGTGTGTGTATATATATATATATATAATAAAGGGAACACTTAAACAACACATCCTAAATCTGAATGAATGAAATAATCGTATTAAATACTTTTTTCTTTACATAGTTGAATGTGCTGACAACAAAATCACACACAAATTATCAATGGAAATCAAATTTATCAACCCATGGAGGTCTGGATTTGGAGTCACCCTCAAAATTAAAGTGGAAAACCACACTACAGGCTGATCCAACTTTGATGTAATGTCCTTAAAACAAGTCAAAATGAGGCTCAGTAGTGTGTGTGGCCTCCACGTGCCTGTATGACCTCCCTACAACGCCTGGGCATGCTCCTGATGAGGTGGCGGATGGTCTCCTGAGGGATCTCCTCCCAGACCTGGACTAAAGCATCCGGCAATTCCTGGACAGTCTGTGGTGCAACGTGGCGTTGGTGGATGGAGCTAGACATGATGTCCCAGATGTGCTCAATTGGATTCAGGTCTGGGGAACGGGCGGGCCAGTCCATAGCATCAATGCCTTCCTCTTGCAGGAACTGCTGACACACTCCAGCCACATGAGGTCTAGCATTGTCTTGCATTAGGAGGAACCCAGGGCCAACCGCACCAGCATATGGTCTCACAAGGGGTCTGAGGATCTCATCTCGGTACCTAATGGCAGTCAGGCTACCTCTGGCGAGCACATGGAGGGCTGTGCGGCCCCCCAAAGAAATGATACCCCACACCATGACTGACCCACCGCCAAACCGGTCATGCTGGAGGATGTTGCAGGCAGCAGAACGTTCTCCATGGCGTCTCCACACTCTGTCACGTCTGTCACGAGCTCAGTGTGAACCTGCTTTCATCTGTGAAGAGCACAGGGCGCCAGTGGCGAATTTGCCAATCTTGGTGTTCTCTGGCAAATGCCAAACGTCCTGCACGGTGTTGGGCTGTAAGCACAACCCCCACCTGTGGACGTCGGGCCCTCATACCACCCTCATGGAGTCTGTTTCTGACCGTTTGAGCAGACACATGCACATTTGTGGCCTGCTGGAGGTCATTTTGCAGGGCTCTGGCAGTGCTGCTCCTGCTCCTCCTTGCACAAAGGCGGAGGTAGCGGTCCTGCTGCTGGGTTGTTGCCCTCCTACGGCCTCCTCCACGTCTCCTGATGTACTGGCCTGTCTCCTGGTAGCGCCTCCATGCTCTGGACACTACGCTGACAGACACAGCAAACCTTCTTGCCACAGCTCGCATTGATGTGCCTTCCTGGATGAGCTGCACTACCTGAGCCACTTGTGTGGGTTGTAGACTCCGTCTCATGCTACCACTAGAGTGAAAGCACCGCCAGCATTCAAAAGTGACCAAAACATCAGCCAGGAAGCATAGGAACTGAGAAGTGGTCTGTGGTCACCACCTGCAGAACCACTTCTTTATTGGGGGTGTCTTGCTAATTGCCTATAATTTCCACCTGTTGTCTATTCCATTTGCACAACAGCATGTGAAATGTATTGTCAATCAGTGTTGATTCCTAAGTGGACAGTTTGATTTCACAGAAGTGTGATTGACTTGGAGTTACATTGTGTTGTTTAAGTGTTCCCTTTATTTTTTTGAGCAGTGTATATACAGTGGGGGAAAAAAGTATTTAGTCAGCCACCAATTGTGCAAGTTCTCCCACTTAAAAAGATGAGAGAGGCCTGTAATTTTCATCATAGGTGCACGTCAACTATGACAGACAAAATGAGAAAAAAAATCCAGAAAATCACATTGTAGGATTTTTAATGAATTTATTTGCAAATTATGGTGGAAAATAAGTATTTGGTCAATAACAAAAGTTTCTCAATACTTTGTTATATACCCTTTGTTGGAAATGACACAGGTCAAACGTTTTCTGTAAGTCTTCACAAGGTTTTCACACACTGTTGCTGGTATTTTGGCCCATTCCTCCATGCAGATCTCCTCTAGAGCAGTGATGTTTTGGGGCTGTCGCTGGGCAACACAGACTTTCAATTCCCTCCAAAGATTTTCTATGGGGTTGAGATCTGGAGACTGGCTAGGCCACTCCAGGACCTTGAAATGCTTCTTACGAAGCCACTCCTTCGTTGCCCGGGCGGTGTGTTTGGGATCATTGTCATGCTGAAAGACCCAGCCACGTTTCATCTTCAATGCCCTTGCTGATGGAAGGAGGTTTTCACTCAAAATCTCACGATACATGGCCCCATTCATTCTTTCCTTTACACGGATCAGTCGTCCTGGTCCCTTTGCAGAATAACAGCCCCAAAGCATGATGTTTCCACCCCCATGCTTCACAGTAGGTATGGTGTTCTTTGGATGCAACTCAGCATTCTTTGTCCTCCAAACACGACGAGTTGAGTTTTTACCAAAAAGTTATATTTTGGTTTCATCTGACCATATGACATTCTCCCAATCCTCTTCTGGATCATCCAAATGCACTCTAGCAAACTTCAGACGGGCCTGGACATGTACTGGCTTAAGCAGGGGGACACGTCTGGCACTGCAGGATTTGAGTCCCTGGCGGCGTAGTGTGTTACTGATGGTAGGCTTTGTTACTTTGGTCCCAGCTCTCTGCAGGTCATTCACTAGGTCCCCCTGTGTGGTTCTGGGATTTTTGCTCACCGTTCTTGTGATCATTTTGACCCCACGGGGTGAGAGCTTGCGTGGAGCCCCAGATCGAGGGAGATTATCAGTGGTCTTGTATGTCTTCCATTTCCTAATAATTGCTCCCACAGTTGATTTCTTCAAACCAAGCTGCTTACCTATTGCAGATTCAGTCTTCCCAGCCTGGTGCAGGTCTACAATTTTGTTTCTGGTGTCCTTTGACAGCTCTTTGGTCCTGGCCATAGTGGAGTTTGGAGTGTGACTGTTTGAGGTTGTGGACAGGTGTCTTTTATACTGATAACAAGTTCAAACATGTGCCATTAATACAGGTAACGAGTGGAGGACAGAGGAGCCTCTTAAAGAAGAAGTTACAGGTCTGTGAGAGCCAGAAATCTTGCTTGTTTGTAGGTGACCAAATACTTATTTTCCACCATAATTTACAAATAAATTCATAAAAAATCCTACAATGTGATTTTCTGGATTTTTTTCTTCTCATTTTGTCTGTCATAGTTGACGTGTACCTATGATGAAAATTACAGGCCTCTCTCATCTTTTTAAGTGGGAGAACTTGCACAATTGGTGGCTGACTAAATACTATTTTTCCCCACTGTATATATATATGTGTTTGTGTTGGGTGGAGTAAATAAAACTTCTAATATGTATTCCTGCGCCTGTCTTCAAATCATTATACAACGTGACAACAGGTCAAGACAAGTCGTGCATTCTATGAGCAAGTCATGTCGAGTCACAAGTTTTCTAGTCAAGTCTCAAGTCAAGTAAAAAAATATCTACACATACGACAGACAGCCCTCTTCATTATTTTGTCTACAACACATTTTGATTAGCCTATGTAATTGTAAAATAGGGACCTTGTAGCAGTCATAAGGGCATGAAATCAGCAGAAGGCAAGGCATGTTGACATGCTCAGAGAGTGTAGATATATTTACAGGTCTTGGTGATCTAATGGTTAAAGCGCCATATCATACAACATATACAAATATACCTGCCCATTCTGAACAGACACAGGTAGAGGGCAAGACTGTACAGCCATGAGAAACAAGATTCTCTGGTCTGATGAAACCAAGATTGAACTCTTTTTGCCTGAATCCCAAGCGTCACGTCTGGAGGAAACCTGGCACCTTCCCTACGGTGAAGCATGGTGGTGGCAGCATCATGCTGTGGGGAAGTTTTTCAGCGGTAGGGACTGGGAGACTAGTCAGGATCGAGGGAAAGATGAACAGAGCAAAGTACAGAGAAATCCTTGATGAAAACCTGCTCCAGAGCGCTCAGGACCTCAGACTGGGGCCAAGGTTCACCTTCCAACAGAACAACGACCTTAAGCACACAGCCAAGACAACGCAGGAGTGGCTTCGGGACAAGTCTCTGAATGTCCTTGAGTGGCCCAGCCAGAGCCTGACTTGAACCCGATCGAACATCTCTGGAGAGACGTGAAAATAGCTGCGCAGCAACGCTCCACATCCAACCTGACAGAGCTTGAGAGGATCTGCAGAGAAGAATGGGAGAAACACCCCAAATACAGGTGTGCCAAGCTTGTAGTGTCATACCCAATAACACTCAATGCTGTAATCGCTGCCAAAGGTGCTTCAACAAAGTACTGAGTAAAGGGTCTGAATACTTATGTAAATGTGATTTTAAAAAATATATAAATTAGCTAACATTTCTAAAAACCTGTTTTTGCTTTGACATTATGCGGTATTGTGTGTAGATTGATGAGGGAAAAAAACAATTTAATAAATTTTAGAATAATGCTGTAACGTAACAAAATGTGGAAAAAGTCAAGGGGTCTGAATTCTTTCCGAAGGCACTGTACATTTACCACATAGGGCCTACGCATTTAAATGTGTGTAAGCAACAGGAAACATTTCAACAAGAGAAAAAAAGCACTCTGCGCAAGTGAAGAGAGTCTTCACCACAGTAATAATTCATTTTAACAACTAATTCCAAATGCACGCTTCATATGTAAATGATCAAGTTCAAGAAATTGTTAGGCCTACATACTAAAAGACCAGTAGGCCTATGCTAGTTGCCCCATTGCTGGTGAGCTTGCAAAGTAAACAGTTCATATTATTGATCGCTATTTTTGGGGGGAGTTGCATATTTATTTATTATGGCAATCCTCTCTCCCTATAATTTGACGTTTGCGCTGCACCGATCCTATAGCTGTACAGCAAATCAGCAATCTGTTCGCCAGCTCATCCGACCTGTGTTGATTGACAGTTTGCTGGTGCAATCAGAGTGCAGAGTGAGCGTTTCACTAACCAATCTGTTGCAATTTACATGTTTTTGTAGTTTTTTTTACAAAGGCGATGCTGCGGCTACTGTCTCTGGCTATGTGAGTAATCCACGGAGAGTCCGTGCCACAAAATAAGTGACAGAACATTACAAAACCTGGCCAGATAATATCAAGTCAGTCTCAAGTCAAAGTCAAGTCCCGAGTAATTTAATTTTCTATCAAGTCGAGTCTCAAGTCATCAGTCATGTGACAACTCTGAGGACCTGCCTTGTATATAGTGTTGTTAAGAAGGCAGAGCAGCACTTTATTATGGACAGACCTCCCCATCTTAGCTACTGTTGCATCAACATGTTTTGACCATGACAGTTTACAATCCAGATTTACTCCAAGCAGTTTAGTCACCTCAACTTTCTCAATTTCCACATTATTCATTACAAGATTTAGGATTTAGTGAGTGCTTTGTCCCAAATACAATGCCTTTAGTTTTTGAAATATTTAGGACTGACTTATTTCTTGCCACCCATTCTGAAACTGACTGCAGCTCTTTGTTAAGTGTTGCAGAAATGTCACTCGCTGTAGTAGCTGACGTGTAAAGTGTTGAGTCATCCGCATTCATAGACACTGGCTTTACTCAAGGCCAGTGGCATGTCATTAATAAAGATTGAAAAAAGTAAAGGCCTAGACAGCTGCCATGGGAAATTCCTGATTCTGCCTGGATTATGTTGGAGAAGCTTCCATTAAAGAACACCCTTTGTGTTCTGTTAGACAGGTAACTATTTAGCCACAATATAGCAGGGGTTGTAAAGCCATAACACATGTTTTTCCAGCAGCAGATCAATAATGTGATCAATAATGTCAAAAGAAGCACTAAAGTCTAACAGAAAAGCTCCCACAATCTTTTCATCATCAATTTCTCTTAGCCAATCATCAGTCATTTGTGTAAGTGCCGTGCATGTTGAATGTCCTTCCCTATAAGCGTGCTGAAAGTATGTTGTCAATTTGTTTACTGTAAAATAGCATTATATCTGCTCAAAATGTGAGGCTACTGTATTATAAAAGATAGGCCACGAGGAGAGAGACAGGGTGATCAGCCTATCCATGTAGGGCTGTGTACGGCTGGTATTTAATTAGGTCAAAGCTGAGCAGGGCCGTGTTCATTAAACGGATATGTCCAGGTAGTCCCTCCCTGTTTCAGTTTGCTTTCTTCCATTTGGTGCCAATGAACATGAAAGGCGAAGGCTTTTTGAGCGTACCGGCGCGTAGCAGGATGACCTGGTCGTCTAGGGTCAGCTCAGAGAAGTGGGGGACCCTCTTGGCCCACTCCACCAGGGTAAACAGCTGCTTGTCTGCAGCCTGGCAAATGTTGGTGACCGGGTCGTTGGGCTGGAGAGAGAAACAGAGGGAGAGAGGCTAGATTCAACCTAGGGCACAAAAGAGAGACTAGAGGCCTTTAGATCAAATTTTTTTTTTAAAGTGGGTCTGTGGTCTCAGAATATATTGTATAACAATAAACTGTTGGCGCAGTCGCACAATCAAATGTCTAGAAATTATAATAGACAGTGTGAGGAACAGAGTAAGAGAAATTGGTATGTGTGCATCGCAGGGCCAGATGGTGGGTCACACACAGAAACACACACACATTTACCGAGCTGCCCTCGGCGCTCCCGTCGGCATGCAGCTCTGTCTTCTGCTCTATGGCCATCTCGGCCTCCAGGATCTTTTCCACCGGCATCTCCTCGTTGACGGCGCTGGTCGACTCCACCTCACTCTCCCGCTCCTTGTTCCTCTGGCGCTCTTCTTGCACGGCTACAGGGGCACAGGAAGGGCAGAGGGAAGGAGAGGGGGAAGGAGGGGAAGAGAGAGTCGGGGGAGCGAGAAGGAGAGAGGCACAGGAGGGGAGGGAGGGTGAGAGGGGAAAGAAAGGGAGCAGCAGGGAGGGAGTAGGATGGAGGGTGAAAAGAGAAAGAAAGGGCAGGAAAAGGCAGAGTGATGGAGAGAGAGAGAAAGAGGGAAGCAAAGTCAAGAAAAAAAGAGAAAGGTGAGAGATAAGGGAGAGGAAATAAAAAAGGGAGGCCAAGAAAAAAGTTGAGAAAGAGAGGAATGTAAGAAAGTAAAGCAGAGAGTAAAGAATGAGACAGGTAGTGAAAGAGAGAGAGATACACAGATATGTACATTTCCCGGTTAGTTCAAACAACAATGCTTTCTTTACCTTTCACATCAAACTTAAGGCCTGGGGGCCACATCAGGCACGCAAGCTGCATTGTTGTGGCCCCAAGACTGATACCTGATTCCCATCAGCCCTCAAGAGGATATTCCTATTAAAATCAACCCACAATAAGGTTTATTCCTACGGCACATGACAGGTTATATCTCTTTGGAGTCACCCCAGACCACATAAACTGGCACAACAATACCAGTCATCGGTGCACCACTATCAGAGAATGCAGGGAAATATGTTAATCAGCCCCTGACACCACAGTAATATATGATGGCAATATGCTTTTGCACAATGTCAGCAATACTGAGAACAGTAACACTTCAGCTCCACTATAAGCTTTGCGTTGCTTTGCCATCAGTGTCAATGTGATGTTCTACCTGCTACACAGAGCGTGTTGTTTTGAGAGGAGCAGAGGGGAAGATTGCCTTTATTCTATTGTCCCCTACCATATTTATCCATTATGCGTAAGTACAATAACTTCGGTTCAGTTTTTCGCAAGTACATTGTTGTTAGTGATTGTACTAAATGATTGTGTAATTACACAAGTTGCTTTTGTTTAACTTGTGAACCTAGCTAGTCAACGTAGCTAGCTAGCTATTAGCTATTAGCTTCTTGACTTCATAAATCTTAGTACAATAACCAGCGGTGTATAGTCGAGGCCATATGCAACCAAAATCAACTTTATTTCTCATTATTCCAACCCACAAGATAGAATGAACGCGCGCGTCAAGAATTGAACCTCTGCGATTCTTGAGCTTGGACGCTGACATTGGACGTGATGCAACGCAAGTGCAACACGGGCAGTGAAACAGCTTTCATTGATTTCAAAGGAACCATTTCCTCAACGGCTGACGGCAATGCCGGATGCCCGATGGCTATAGTGTAGCAGGGCCGTAAGACTTACGTTGCGCCTGGTAATTTGAGTTCAGACCCCTGTTTCATACCAATACATTCTGCAACATACCTCACACAGAAATGGACCATCACAACAAAACAACATAAAATATTGTTGTTTTTCCTCGACCAAATACACATTTAGAAACATTTGCAATTTTTTTTAAAGAAAGATTGATTCAAAGTCTCGTAGGCAAGAGAGCATTGTCTTCTGTGTGGTATGGTTCATTTCTGAACATTGACAAAACTACATAACAGGTACTCTGCACTACTCCCCCCCACCAAATGAAATGCCATTCTCTCCATCTCTTTCACACACCCCCCTCCATCCCTCCCTCCCTCCTTTCTCCTTACATCTCTGTCGTTCATCTTGGACCACTACAGAAGAAGGGAGAGAGAAAGCGAGAGGAAACAAGAGGGGAGAGAGGGGGACAGGGGTTAGTGTTTACAAGGCTCTCCATCCCCCTCTCTCCACCTCTTTTTCTCGCTCTTTCCATCCCCTTTGAGTACAATCAACACTCTCCCCTTAGAAATGTATATTACAATAGTCAAAGAAAATCTGAAATGCTCTTAGACATCTTTATTATACATAAATGATTTATGTGGATTTAAAACAGATATTGGAAATAGTTTCATAGCAAATAGGCTATACAACCTTTTTGTCAACAATGTAAATGTTTTTTCAGCAGGACGGTTGGTGAGTGGGGGGTCTTCGGGTTAGGGTACACCTGCCCACACACAAGGTGCCCCATCCCTCTTCATTGTAGTTTCTTACTGTTCTTCATGTACCAAATCAGACCCAATTTCAATAGGGATCCTAGCTCTCCCTCACTCTTTCTGTCTTTCATCAGCCTCTCCTCTCCCTTGCTCAGGCTCGCTCTTCATATCTCCCATTGCATCCCTCTCCGTCTCTCCCTCCATTTCAAGACTTACCCTACCTGGTGATAGTGTTACCCTTTAATAAGATATATTGAATGCGAGTTGAGGACAGCAGACTGCTAGGCTCCCCCTTACCTTCCCTCTTCATGCCACAGGCCAGGCACTTCTGGTAGCGGCAGTACTGGCAGCGGTTGCGCTGGCGCTTGTCCACCAGGCAGTCCTTGTTGTCCCGGCAGGTGTAGCTCAGGTCCTTGCGCACCGTGCGCTTGAAGAAACCCTTGCAGCCCTCGCAGCTGTACACTCCATAGTGCTTACCTATAGAGACAGAGAGAGCAAGAGAGAAAGAAAGAGGAAGAGAGAATGAAAAGAAAGAGGCATGTAAAAAGACAGACAGAAATAGAGAGGGAAGAGGGGGATAGCAAAAGGAGGGAAGGTAACATTAGTAATAAAGCACTTTTAATAATTCAGGCACAAAGTCGATAGCGCATATTCTTCAGGTGTGATGGTAATGAAAGTACATGAAGTGTTTCGGTCCGTTTTCGTAGAAACTGAACTAGTAAATAAACTACGTAAATGCTTCGCACAGATAAGGTAGAGATCTTTATTTTATGCAGCTTTTTAAAAACATTCTATGGAGAGTTAAGGAGTAGTTCACCCCAAAACCAAGGGTTATCTGATGTTTCCATACCTCAAGTGGTATAAGTCCATGTAGCCAATGCCATCTGTTGTGTAGATCCCACTATGAACAGCAGAAATCTGACGGTGTCAATCCCAAATTCATGGGAAAAATCGACACCACCTAACTACATTTCATTCAACGCCTGTCAAATTATGTGCAGAACAATCCTTTAATAAACAAACCATATCGCACCACTAGTGCGTCTCTCTCTGACACAGACCCTAAATCCCAAATCAAAATCCCACCCTAGCCTGTCCTATAGATTGAAGAGTAAAATAGATCAACTTGTCTTCTTACAGGCTGGGTGGGATTTTCGCCATATTGCTTACACCATTCAATTTCTCTCCGATCCCCACAAGTGCATAGGGTCTAGGGGCCAATTTGGGACTCACCGGAGGAGCGGTCGCCGCAGATAGCACACAGGCGCTTTTGGGAGAGCATGGGGCCCCCTGGGCTGTGGCCCCCCAGCCCGAACGGAGGCTTCACGTCGTCCGAGCTGCTGACCGCGTGCAGTCCCGACATGGACACTGTGGAGTTGATCTGGAGGCCGAGAGAAAGGGGGAGGATAGGGACAGAAGTGAGAGGGGAAATATTGAATTGAAGGAGGTATGATGCAGAGTTGTCATAAAATAAGACACATAAAAAAGCATCATTACTTTCATGCATTTAACAATCACATACATATTGCCAGTTATCTTTTTGAGTGGGCTGATTGATCAGTATTAAAGCGACATTCAATTTCCCGTTCGCACACCGAGGCATCATCGGCGGAGAAAGAAAGGAGCATCTGGACCCTGCCTCCCTCGCCCTCAATGCAAGAGAGATTACAGAGCACTTCTCAACATCACCAGCTTAAGCAGGTTAAGTCTCAGGGCATCCTCATTGCCTGATTAATTTATGAGGACGTTTGAGGAGAATCAGAGGCAAAAAGTGAAATGGGGGAGGAGAAAGAGAAAAAGCAAGGGAGGGAGAGGAGGAGAAATAACACTGAGAAGGACCATCTGACATGAGAGGGGATAGAGGGAATAAAAAAAGTCTCACTTCTGCACTCCTGGTATACATATTGATCTGTGAAGCAGAGAGAAAGGGATAAAGTAAAGGGCAGGGGAGGAAAGAAAGAAAGAGAGGGGCACTCAGGGAAGAAAGAGAGGGGCACTCAGGGAAGAAAGAGGGGCACTCAGGGAAGAAAGAGAGAGGCACTCAGGGAAGAAAGAGAGGGGCACTCAGGGAAGAAAGAGAGGGGCACTCAGGGAAGAAAGAGAGGGGCACTCAGGGAAGAAAGAGAGGGGCACTCAGGGAAGAAAGAGAGGGGCACTCAGGGAAGAAAGAGAGGGGCACTCAGGGAAGAAAGAGAGGGGCACTCAGGGAAGAAAGAGAGGGGCACTCAGGGAAGAAAGAGAGGGGCACTCAGGGAAGAAAGAGAGGGGCACTCAGGGAAGAAAGAGAGGGGCACTCAGGAAAGAAAGAGAGGGGCACTAAGGAAAGAAAGAGAGGGGCACTCAGGAGAGAAAGAGAGGGGCACTCAGGAGAGAAAGAGAGGGGCACTCAAGAATGGACAGTATGGGTATTTGTTTGGATATTCACTACTATGCTGCCACTGCGAGCCCCTTGGACAAATCATTTTGTGCCTAGATTAAAACAAAAAAAATCGACATAATGTTTGCAGATGCACATACAGTGGGGAGAACAAGTATTTGATACACTGCCGATTTTGCAGGTTTTCCTACTTAAAGCATGTAGAGGTCTGTAATTGTTATCATAGGTACACTTCAACTGTGAGAGACGGAATCTAAAACAAAAATCCAGAAAATCACATTGTATGATTTTTAAGTAATTAATTTGCATTTTATTGCATGACATAAGTATTTGATACATCAGAAAAGCACAACTTAATATTTGGTACAGAAACCTTTGTTTGCAATTACAGAGATCATACGTTTCCTGTAGGTCTTGACCAGGTTTGCACACACTGCAGCAGGGATTTTGGCCCACTCCTCCATACAGACCTTCTCCAGATCCTTCAGGTTTCGGGGCTGTCGCTGGGCAATACGGACTTTCAGCTCCCTCCAAAGATTTTCTATTGGGTTCAGGTCTGGAGACTGGCTAGGCCACTCCAGGACCATGAGATGCTTCTTACGGAGCCACTCCTTAGTTGCCCTGGCTGTGTGTTTCGGGTCGTTGTCATGCTGGAAGACCCAGCCACGACCCATCTTCAATGCTCTTACTGAGGGAAGGAGGTTGTTGGCCAAGATCTCGCGATACATGGCCCCATCCATCCTCCCCTCAATACGGTGCCGTCGTCCTGTCTCCTTTGCAGAAAAGCATCCCCAAAGAATGATGTTTCCACCTCCATGCTTCACGGTTGGGATGGTGTTCTTGGGGTTGTACTCATCCTTCTTCTTCCTCCAAACACGGCGAGTGGAGTTTAGACCAAAAAGCTCAATTTTTGTCTCATCAGACCACATGACCTTCTCCCATTCCTCCTCTGGATCATCCAGATGGTCATTGGCAAACTTCAGACGGGCCTGGACATGCGCTGGCTTGAGCAGGGTCGACCTTGCGTGCGCTGCAGGATTTTAATCCATGACGGCGTAGTGTGTTACTAATGGTTCTCTTTGAGACTGTGGTCCCAGCTCTCTTCAGGTCATTGACCAGGTCCTGCCGTGTAGTTCTGGGCTGATCCCTCACCTTCCTCATGATCATTGATGCCCCACGAGGTGAGATCTTGCATGGAGCCCCAGACCGAGGGTGATTGACCATCATCTTGAACTTCTTCCATTTTCTAATAATTGCGCCAACAGTTGTTGCCTTCTCACCAAGCTGCTTGCCTATTGTCCTGTAGCCCATTCCAGCCTTGTGCAGGTCTATAATTTTATCCCTGATGTCCTTACACAGCTCTCTGGTCTTGGCCATTGTGGAGAGGTTGGAGTCTGTTTGATTGAGTGTGTGGACAGGTGTATTTTATACAGGTAACGAGTTCAAACAGGTGCAGTTAATACAGGTAAAAACGAACAGGTCTGTGAGAGCCGGAATTCTTACTGGTTGGTAGGTGATCAAATACTTACGTCATGCAATTAATTACTTAAAAATCATACAATGTGATCTTCTGGATTTTTGTTTTAGATTCCGTCTCTCACAGTTGAAGTGTACCTATGATAAAAATTACAGACCTCTACATGCTTTGTAAGTAGGAAAACCTGCAAAATCAGCAGTGTATCAAATACTGTACTTTGTGCATGTGAATTTATGTTTTTTTTATGTATATCTTTCATGGAAATATTGCAGAATATGTTCCCTATTTTCTAGTCATACAAAGGAGGATAGGGAGAGTTTGACCTTTTGATGTGGTTTTGAGGGCAACCAATGATTCATCCACTGGCACCCTTGATCTAAAATGTAATAATTGATTCACTACCGAATTCATTTAATATTTTGTGAGGTTTTAAAAGTCAGAACGCGTTCAAAGTGTACGACCGAGAGACAAATAGCCTACTTCTACCATACTAACTAAGAGCAGGGCAAAGTACCCAAATAATGCTGTTTCATGGTTGATTTTGCAGACAAAAATAGAATTGTTACCTGGACTTTTAAGAATTACAATATCTATACTGAACAAAAATATAAAACGCAACATGTAAAGTGTTGGTCCCATGTTGCATGAGCTGAAATAATGGATTCCATAAATTCTCCATACGCACAAAAAACGTACTTCTCTAAAATGTTGTGCACAAATTTGTACACATCCCTGTTAGTGAGCATTTCTCCTTTGCCAACATAATCCATCCATCTGACAGGTGTGGCATATCAAGAAGCTGATTAAACAGCATGATCATTACACAGGTGCACCTTGTGCTGGGGACAATAAAATGCTCACCTTCGATGGCCACTAGCAAGCTGGAGAAATGTGCTCTTCACGATTTAATCCCGGTTTCAACAAGGCAGATGGCGTCGTGTGGGCGAGCGGTTTGCTGATTTCAATGTTGTGAACAGAGTGCCCCATGGTAGCGGTGGGGTTATGGTATGGGCAGGCATAAGCTACGGACAACGAACACAATTGCATTTTATCTATGGCAATTTGAATGCACAGCGATAACTTGACAAGATCCTGAGGCCCATTGTCGTGCCATTCATCCGCCGCCATCACCTCATGCATGATAATACACTGCCCCATGTCGCAAGGATCTATACACAATTCCTGGAAGCTGAAAATGTCCCAGTTTTTCCATTGCCTGCATACTCACCAGACCCATTGAGCATGTTTGGGAAGCTTTGGATTGACATGTACGACAGCGTGTTCCAGTTCCCACCAATATCCCGCAACTTCGCAAAGCCATTGAAGGAGTGGGACATTCCACAGGCCACAAACAGCCTGATCAGTTAACTCTATGCAAAGGAGATGTCGCGCTGCATGAGGCAAATGGTGGTCACACCAGATACTGACTGGTTTTCTGATCCAGCCCCCTACCTATTTTAAAGGTATCTGTGACCAACAGACGCATATCTGTATTCCCAGTCATGTGAAATCCATAGATTAGGGCCTAATTAATTTATTTCAATTGACTGATTGAAATTGTTGCATGTTGCGTTTATATTTTTGTTCAGTGTAGATATGTATTGTTTCACGTTTTCCTTTGGTAGTTCTCCGCAATTTCACTTGACCTACAGGGCTGGGAATTGCCAGGGACCTCACGATACGATATTATCACAACACTAAGCTGTCGATACGATATGTATTGCGATTCTGTTCCAAACACATTGCTCACCTTACAGTGCCTTCGGAAAGTATTCAGACCCCTTGATTTTTTCCACATTTTGTTACGTTACAGCCTTATTCTAAAATTGATTAAATCGTTTTTTTGCCTTCATCAATCTACACAAAATACCCCATGATGACAAAGCAAAAACTGGTTTGTAGAATAAAAATATATATCACATTTACATATGTATTCAGACCCTTTACTCAGTACTTTGTTGTAGCACCTTTGGCAGCGATTACAGCAGAGTGCTCTTGGGTATGACATTACAAGCTTGGCTCATCTGTATTTGGGGAGTTTCTCCCATTCTTCTCTGCAGATCCTCTCAAGCTCTGTCATGTTGGATGGACAGCGTTGCTGCACAGCTATTTTCAGGTCTCTCCAGAGATGTTCGATCGGGTTCAAGTCCGGGATCTGGCTGGGCCACTCAAGGACATTCAGAGACTTGTCCCGAAGCCACTCCTGCGTTCTCTTGGCTGTGTGCTTAGGGTCGTTGTCCTGTTGGAAGGTGAACCTTCGCCCCAGTGTGAGGTCCTGAGCACTCTGGATTAGGTTTTCATTAAGGATCTCTCTGTACTTTGCTCCGTTCATCTTTGCCTCGATCCTGACTAGTCTCCCAGTCCCTGCCGCTGAAAAACATCCCCACAGCATGATGCTGCCACCACCATGCTTCACTATAGGGATGGTGCCAGGTTTCATCCAGATGTGACGCTTGGGATTCAGGCCAAAGAGTTCAATCTTGGTTTCATCAGACCAGAGAATGTTGTTTCTCATGGTCTGAGAGTCTTTAGGTGCCTTTTGGCAAACTCCAAGCGGGCTGTCATGTGCCTTTTACTGAGGAGTGGCTTCCGTCTGGCCACTCCACCATAAATAAGGTATTTCTGCTTTGTTTTTTGTTTTCGCTTTGTCATTATGGGGTAGTGTGTGTAGAATGCTGAGGATTATTATATTTAGAATAAGGCTGTAAAGTAACAAAATGTGGAAAAAGTAAAGGGGTCTGAATACTTTCCGAAGGCACTGTATGTCTGCTGCAGAGGGACAAGACAGAGCCATGATAATTCGAGTTGTCATCAGTCATGGAAATAAAAGTGCTGAAAACAAAAATTAGCGCCCTATTTAAAAATAATATGGAGAACAAGTTATGAAGGAAAAATACTGAAGTTTTGGTGCAGGTATAGCCAACTAGCACACACATATTATTGCGATATTGCCAAAACGATACAATATATAGTCCAAAATAATATCCCGATATGTAACTGTATCGAATTTACCCCCATCACTATTACCTACAACATAAATCACAGTATATTGCACATTTTGGGGGCCATAAAATAGCAGCCAAGGACCTATTCTTTATTTACCATAAAAGTGCACTCAACAAGTGATATTCTTCTCAACCAATCACCAAGAGAGGCTGGTAGAGCACGGCGCTTGTAACGCCAAGGTAGTGGGTTCAATCCCCGGGACCACCCATACACAAAAAAAAAAAAACGTATGCACGCATGACTGTAAGTCGCTTTGGATAAAAGCGTCTGCTAAATAGCATATTATTATTATTATGTTGACTGCAGCCTATAAAGTCACACTTGGTTCTCACAGGCCACTACTGTAAAGCAGCATTTATTGACCCATGACGCCAACTTCCCATCTCTGAATGGCCCTGAGAGGTGATGGATGAAAGATAAGGCAGAAGGAGAGGAGTGGTAGAATAGAAGTGTTAGCTACCTGTCTGGAACTCAGGGCTCACCTGGGGGCTGCTAATGGGGCCGTAGCCCACAGAGGGTGTCCCGGGCAGGCAGGGCGACCCCAAAGAGGAGCTGATGACGGAGAAGGGCGAGCCCATGCTGCTGATGGGGCTGTTGACGGCCGAGGTGATGGGCGGCAGAGACGTCATGGCGGCAGCTGTGGGGGTCAGGAGGGGTGAGCGCTGGCCCGAGGGAGGGGAGGACACAGAGGAGCTGTCTGGGCTGCGGGTATCTGGTGAACATGACAGGGATTACATGGCAGAGAGTAATGATACCCTACATACAACTCAAGTTTAAGAAAATATAATTATTGAGTTTCCCTCGCTACAATTAAGTTAGTCGCCATACCCTAGCTCAACACCAACAATTTAAAATAGGCCACCAAAATACTTCCAATCCCGATTAAAAGGCAAATACAGTGTAGCGAAGTGGTCACCAACTGGTAGATCTTCAAGACATTTCTAGTCGATCACCAAAACTTTCTGTAGAAAATACCAAAATAAAGGCTTGCGCTCCTTTTATTTGTATATTCGTGTTGGGGTGTTGGCGGTGGTGCACTTGATTCAGAAGCCCTGCACACCGGGTAGGCAAAGTTTTCCCATTTTTTTCCCATTTCATTTGTCTGAAAAACAAACTCCGCCTACCCGGCAGACCGGGAGATCTGTGGCTAAACCGCGTATGCCTACTGCGCTGGCCAATCGGAAAGCTTACAACGCCGCGTATGGCTTCCACGACCCCGGCCACAGCAAAGTTTGATACTAGCCTATGTGAGATTTCATAACTTTAAAACCATGACCAGAGAGAGACTGTCAAAGAATACAGCAAAGAGCTGCTGTTTTTATGAGTGAGTTCATGTCTAAGTTTATTCAGCACTGTCAACACTGTTTTTATTTAACAATATAACAAAACATGCTTCTCCCTACTATGAGTAGCCAAGTGTATCGATAGCCCTGCATTTTTATTCTTATTAGCGGCTCCTTGTGTCTATTTTAATATTGATGAATATTTCACTATCTCTGGTCATAGGAACAACATACATTTGTGCATGAGGCAGATGAGGTGCGACTCAAGTTTAGCCATCAGGTGGAAGAAGATATCCCCTCTCTCTGGTCAGTCTCACCGGAGGAAAGGAAGGAGAGAGCAGGGACCGTGAGAGGCGGACCCTCTGCTGCTCTCTCCCTCCCTCTGCTGAGACTAATGCCGTGTTCAAAACAACTGGCAACCCGACATCAGTGCGTTCAAGACAACTGGGAACTCAGGAAAAAAGTCATGTTAAAAAAAAAATCTGAGCGGTAGATCTTGGCTTGCTTTTTGACTGCGAAAGTGATCTTGACTCAGAAAAGGTTGGTGACCACCGGTGTAGCGGTACCAGTGGACTGGCTTTAGGACCATGCGGATGGCTCAGAGCAGGGTGGGAAGGCTGCTTTTTTAACCCGGTGCTATTTGCTTAATGACGTGTGTTTGTAGAATGTTAAGTTCCCTATCGACTGAGGTGAATAAAGTTACAGCAGCCAAGGTGATAATGGCTGGAGTCAATTTATAATTTTATTTTTTGGCCATTTGGAGTTTTTAAAGTGTAGAAATACATGTCACTTTGCCATACCCTAGGTTCAGCTGAAATGACACTAGGCCTTATATATCAATTGGAATAATTCTGTATAAGCAATAATTAATAACAGCAACCACGTTTCCATCCAAGCATTTGCGGTGGAAATGCCTAAATGTGAAAATATTGATATCATAACCATCATATCGAAGTCATGCGATGATATGCTGTGTGGTCCTCCCACTACGAATCGGGAAAGCATGCAGTTTATTAGGCTACAGATGAAATAAGTTCACAGGGTGGTGAATGTGCAAGGTGATGATGAGCTTGATGCTCCTTTCCAATAAATATCGAGGGTCTTATTCTGATGACATGATGATCGATGCTTGGCTGCCGTTTGATATGTATACAAATAATGTCGCTCTTATCCATAATAATCTCATAATGTAGGTAGCCTACCTGTACTGTATATGCGTGCTGTTGGCTAGAGCACATGTACCAAGACCAGAGTGGACACATTTGCTATATAACGGTTTTTGTGACAAAACCATCAGTAGGAGTTGAAAATGCGATGGAAACCACTTGTATTTTTTTAAAACTTGTACATGGGAATTTGACGGCAAAAGTGATTTTTATGTGCACTACGTCATCACGCACAGCCTTTTAGCCACACAAACGAATTTTGATGGAAACATCTCTGGTGGGTAAAATGTGCATTTTGTTTGATGCAGATTTTAGAATACTTGGAAACCTAGCTAGTATGCACACCCCTTGACATTTTCCACATTGTTGTGTTACAAAGTGGGATTAAAATGCATTTAAACTGTCAACAATCTACACAAAATACTAATGTCAAAGTTGAAGAACAATTCACTTTTTTTTTTTATAATGGGAAAAAAAACAGAATATATCTTGATTAGATAAGTACTCAACCCCAAGTCAATACATGTTAGAATCCCCTTTGGCAGCTATTACAGCCGTGAGTCTGTCTGGGTAAGTCTAAGATCTTTGCAGACATGGATTGTACAATATTTGCCCGTAATTCTTTAACAAAATATTCAGGTTCTGTCAAGTTGGTTGTTGATCATTGCTAGACTGCCATTTTCAAGTCTTGCCATAGATTTCCAAGCAGATTTAAGTCAAAACCGTAACTAGGCCACTCAAGAACAGTCAATGTCATCTTGGTGAGTAACTCCAGTCTATATTTGGCCTTGTGTTTTAGGTAATTGTCCTGCTGAATTTGTCTCCAAGTGTCTGGTGGAAAGCAGACTGAACCAGGTTTTCCTCTAGGATTTTGCCTGTGCTTAGCTCTATTCCGTCTTTTTATCCTAAAAAACTCCCTAGTCCTTGCCGATGACAAGAATACCCATAAAATGATGCAGCTACCACCATGCTTGAAAATATGAAGAGTGGTACTCAGTCATGTGTTAGATTTGCCCCAAACATAACTTTCTGTCCTGAATACAAAGTGTTAATTTCTTAGCAATTTTTTTTGCAGTATTACTTTAGTGCCATATTGCAAACAGGATGCATGTTTTTGAATATTTCTATTCTGTACAGCCTTCCTCATTTATGTTAGTATTGTGGAGTAACTACAATGTTGTTGATCCATCCTCAGTTCTCTTATAACAGCCATTAAACTCTAACTGATTTAAAATCACCATTAGCCTCATGGTGAAATTCCTGAGCAGTTTTCTTCCTCTTTGGCAACTAGAGTTAGGAAGGGCGCCTGTATCTTTGTAGTGACACACCATCCAAAGTGTAATTAATAAATGTCTGCTTCCATTTTTTACCCCATCTACCAATAGGTGCCCTTCTTTGCAAACCATTGGAAAACTTCCCTGGTCTTTGTGCTTGAAATTCACTGCTCGACTGAGGGACCTTACAATTATCTGTATGTGTCGGGTACAGCAATGGGGCAGTCATTTAAAAATCATGTTAAACACTATTATTGTACACAGAGTGAGTCCATGCAACTTATTTAGCACATTTCTACTCCTGAACTTATTTAGGCTTGCCATAATAAAAGGGTTGAATACTTGACTCAAGACATTTCAGCTTTTCATTTTTTATTAATTTGTAAACATTTCTAAAAACAAAATTACACTTTGACATTATAGGGTACTGTGTGTAGATCAGCGACAAATCTAAATGTAATATATTTTAAATTCAGGCTGTAACACAATGTGGAAAAAGTAAAGGGGGGGGGGGGGGGGGGGGGGGGGTACTTTCTGAAGGCACTAAGGTAGAAAACAAAATTCAGCAACAATACATTAAAATGAAGATTCTTTTTGTTTTCAATATACATCAAACCATTACCTACTAATACAAAACACACAAGACTTTAAGCAGATTAAGCAATCAAACATAAAAAGCTAGCTCGGATAGGTAGGACTTTAGTTGTGTTTTAAACAAGGAAATTGAAGCTGCCTCCTTGACATGTGTAGTTAACCCATGCTGCACAGGGTTGTAGCTGGTGTGACCAGCCTGTTAGAGTCTGACAATCGTAGTGTGCGTGCTGGAGAATAGTTCTCTATAAGTTGGCATATGTATTTAGGTGCATCACCTTTGAGGGCCTTAAAAGGTGAGCAGCAAGAATCTTACATTTGATGCTGTATTGAACAGGAAGACAATGGAGGTTGAATAAAGCCAAGTAGTCTGATTAATCAGTAATTAAACAATTGGTATCTGTAATTAAACAACTGGTATACACAGCCTGAAACTAATGACTGCAAAATTGTGTAAATGTTCCTTACAAGCCAGAATGTTTAATAAAATTACATTTGAACACTAACGGTTGTCCGTGGTGTTGGTCCTTCAGATGGTCGAACCTGGCACGTGCAAAACCATGTAAATACCTGATGACTTCAGTTAGTATGTACGCATCACGTGCACACGTTGGCTCATGACCGAAGGCATGTGCACAAGATGGAAGTACATGCACGCAATGCATGCATACTAACTGAAGTCAAGTTTCAAGTTTGATTAGTTGTATGTACGGGATACACATGGTATACACGGTCCAACTAAATGCTTACTTGCAGGTTTCTTCTCAACAATGCAACAATATGAAATAATAAAATATAAGAATACAACCAAAGTAAATGACTCAGTAGAATAGTTAATAAAGGAAGGCACAATGTATAGTCCAATATTTACAAGTGCTTAGGGCAAGGGAGGATTGGGGGGCAAGTGTTTAAATTGTGCAGTAATCATAATAAAAGTCTGGTAGCAGCAGTTGTGATGTATGAGTGGATATCTGTGTGCATGTGTGCTAAGGTGCGGAGAGTCAGTGCAGGTGGTCAGTCCTGTTCAACTGTTCAGTAGTCTCATGGCTTGAAACTGTCTTGGAGCCTGTTTATATCAGACATGCTCCAATACTGTCTGCCCGACGGTAGGGGAGTGAACACCTTGGAGCTGGGGGTCCTTGATGCTGCTGGCCTTCCTCAGGCACCGTTTTGAGTAGACATCCTGGATAGGTAGGAGCACGGTCCCAATTATGTACTTGTGTCAGCTGGTGTTTACATGGTTTTGCGCATGTGCCAGGTGATAGAAATGTCAAATTCAGTACCGGCACTCTAAAGAGTTGGGTAAACAATACTTTCCTATCAAATGTCGACCATCTGAAGGACCAACACCACAGACAACCGGTAGAGTAAGTTCAAATATACTTTTATTCAACATTCTGGCTTGTAAGAATATTTACACAATTTAGCGGTATATACCAATAATTGTGTATTTGATGCTGATTAATCAGACAAAATTGGGGTGATATGGGTTTTGTGTAGTTTGTGAGCATCCTTGTAGCTATAGCTAACTAAGCTATTCAGTTTGGTAGCTTTGTAACTTGTTATGCCTTGATTGAGCCAATGCAAATATTGTCAGAAAGCATCGTTAATGCACTACCTAACTAGTATAGTTGACCACTGCAGCTGGAACTTAAAGACAAAATGTAAACGTGGCTTGATAGCTAGCGAACTTCATTCGAAAACATCGGTGGCATTCTCTTACCTCTGCTGTCGCCCATGACTGCCTTCTTGGTGGAAAAGACGTGCTGGAACACCGATAGACGTGCTTCAATCACCCTGCTATCTAACTCAAGACCGCGGACTGAGTGAGGCCCGGGCCAGAGTCGTTTTTGAGTTACCAAAAACAGGGCTGAAAAAAATCCAAAAATAAACACATTTAGTTAATAAGAAGCAAATGTCTACATTTGGCATCAGACCCGTGCGTTTGACAGCCAAGGTTTTCCTAACATGAGCCTGAGCACCCATTCTCATTAGTTTGTGTGCATTTTGGCCAAGAAGAAGCATATCGTTTGCAGGATAACTAGCCTAGGCCCGACTGGGTAACAAAACAAGCTAATAACAAACCACTTAGCTAGCTAACGTTAACTATCTAAAATTACTACTAACTATCTAGCTAAATTGCTACAAACGCGGAGTCAACAAAATATTCGCCTATAGACAGTGCAGCCATAGAGGAATGACCGTTTTGTATCATTGGTACAGCTAGCAACCGCGCTAGCGTAGTGCAACAACCGACCGGAGAAAACTCGCAAGTGATAGATAGTTGGTCAGTTTGGAAACAATTCAACAGATTATCTATTCATTTCCCCAACAGTAAGATATAACGTTAATACTAAAACTATGCTATGCATCAACAATAATTATAGCTAGCTACTAACGTGTTTGACAGTGCAGTTTCTTCGCATGAAATATGGTGGTCGGTCAGGCAGGCCACGAGTTCTTGCTCTCCTCTCTCCACACTTTCCCTCGTCGTCAGCCCACCCGCCCCCTGCCCTGCAGCCTGTGGTTGACTGAGTAGCTACTGTACCAAAGACAGTACAGTATGAAGAGGTTTTCAAATAAAATAAAATACTATACATCTGAATGTCTATAATGAGCATTATGATGCATTTACATGACACTACAATAACATACAGCCAGGTTCCCCATTAACATTACATGGGGAATATTTAAACAATGTAACTGAATGTCTAGAATTGAAACAATATTCAAAATTCTAAAAGTTGGCCAAACTCTAAATATATGGCTCTGGGCAGAAACTGCTTCTCCAATACACTGGTTGGTTGTTTAGCAACAAAACTGACACGTGTGCAAATGAGCAAAACAGACGGGGTTGGTTTAGATTCTTGACAACATATTTCCTCTCCAATGTTTATTGAAAACATAAATACATGAACAACGAGCATTTCTCTCAAATACATCGTTACAATTTTAACCATATTAGCATACACTTGACATCAGTCAACACCTCAAAACAAGAAATGGTATCAAGAACAAGATCAAACTAGATGGTAACTTTACAAGTAAAGTTGTGGGGCTTGTTTTAACGCATTAAACGTATTTTTGTGGTAATGGAATAAATTAAAAAAGTTTTACTATACTATTTAAAGCAAAGGAGTTACATACACTGAGTGTACAAAACATTAGGAACTGCTCTTTCCATGACATAGACTAACCAGGTGAATCCAGATGAAAGCTATGATCCGTTATTGATGTCACCTGTTACATCCACTTCAATCAGTGTAGATGAAGGGAAGGATACAGATTAAATAAGGATTTTTAAGCCTTGAGACAATTGAGACATGGATTGTGTATGTGTGCCATTCAGAGAGTGAATGGGTAAAACAGAAGATTTAAGTGACTTTGAATGGGGTATGGTAGTAGGCGCCAGGCACACCGGTTTGAGTGTGTCAACCTTATTACTTTGGATTGTGGGGCAGTTAGATCATAAAAATGTCTAAACTACGGTTGTTGCGTGTGAAAGCTGACACAGGACAAAGCGATCTTCTGCCAGAAGATGGGAAGAAAAGGCAGCATCATGAGGACAACACTCAGGAAAACAAAGCAACTCTGAATCATTCATGCCGTGGGTTTCAAAAAAAATAAATGCACGATTTACTTTTGTAAAACGATTTGTGTAAATTTAAGGTTGATTTTTAATTGAATGATGTAATGATTAGAAAGTTTTAGGTTATTATTTGGGGAGATAAATATGATGGTGCATCTAGTGATGACAGCTATTAAAATTGTTTTTGTGGTAGTTGGAAAAACTATGTAGAATAGGTTTGTATGTAGACCTGATAGAACTATATCTAGCTATCTAATACATAGCCTAAAGAGTTTAACAGTGAACACTGAAAAGTACATTTCCTGAAGAAAATGTGGTGTGCTTGTTTTAATGTGATTTTGTGACTGGTTATAGTTGAACAAGTAGTTAGACGAAAAAATGGATTGGTTGGTTGATAGAATAGCCTGAACATGTGAACGTTGGTTTGGTGTTTCTAGTTTGTACGGTTCAAGAGTTACAATTATTGTTGGTGGGTATTATGTGCACGTTTATGCAAATGTAGGTAGTTATAATTTATAGTGTAGATCAGAGCTAGTTCGAACCAACGCTAGCTAGCTACACCCTCAACCAGAGCGAATGCACGCCAGACCAATAGTTGTGGTCAGTAGTGTGGTTATGTTGAAGGTTCTTTGGGACTGTCATGCCAAATAATGTCCCCCAGCCAAAAAGTGTCCCCTCCGCGTCACAATGGGATTCGATAAACTGTTAGCGTCTGTTGCTATATCAACGTTGTGATGACTTAATGATTAGAATTTTGGAGATCATTACAGCCTAGATTACGTTCTTTTCATCATCGCTATGCAAACCAGGCTGATTTCCGTGACAATTTCGCTGTTTTAAACAAGTTTTGTTTAGCTAATAAAATAGAAAACACTACTTCTGGGGACCTTGTTAACATTACAACATGAAATCCATGTCTTCAACATTGCTATGTTTCGGAAATGGCAAAGAACGTGTAATCTGCTTGACACATTAAAGTTACTTACCTTACAGATCACAAAGTCAGCTAATTTCCACTCCATTCATATGCATATCCGTTTGATTCATACAATGGCTTGTCTGGCTGGCATGTTTTTATTTTAACCTGGCCTTCTGTTATCTACACTGAAATAATATAATTTCAGTAGTCCTCTATGATGATTCATTCTTGTTCTATCTCGCATAGCCCATTAGTACACCCTTGTGGTTGAATATATATATGTATCTGTTGTAGGTCCTAGTATACAACAATGAATAATGTGGAACAAATAAATACCATCAAAGGATACCTTACAATTTACAATAATGAACACCTTGTGAAACAGCTGTGAAAACCAACCTGGCAATATTTAAGATTTGAATACATAAACTTTATTTTTTTTGGTACAGTTGTCATTCATTTATTTTCACAGATGAGAAAGTTACAGACGAACAAATATCATACCCCCAAGACATGCAAACCTCTCAGTTTACAATAACAGAGGAGGGTAGCACTTTTTGGGGGGTATGGTATTTGTGCATATAACTTTCTCACTCAATATTCACGATACATTCAGGATTATCCGTCATCATGGTAGCATCCACATTCATGTAGAAGTGTTTAGAAACATATTCTATTCTTATTTACATTAAAAGTGACCCCAAAATGACACAATACATTATTTACCATTCATTTCTATTGGGCACAAAATAATCTGAAACCCAACCAAAACAAACAGACAATGCATTCAACAAATTTGTAGAGTCACAAGCTTGCTGTAGTCATTGCGTGCTATGAATATGGGACCAAATACTTAACTCTTTACTACTTTAATACACATAAGTGAATTTGTCCCAATACTTTTGCTTCCCTAAAATGGGGGGACTATGTACAAAAAGTGCTGTAATTTCTAAACGGTTCACCCAATATGGATGAAAGTACACTCAAATTAAAGCTGACCGTCTGCACTTTAACCTCATAGTCATTTCAAGTATAGAGCCAAAAGAAGAAACAATGCTTCACTGTCCCAATAATTACGGAGGGCACTGTATGTAAACATATTTAAAACGTATTGCTTGTTATAGAAGACTACTGTTGTACATTGAATAACCATTCATCAATGTTACACCTCCTTGATGTGATGGTTCTCTATGTCTGTACATGTTTATAATCCACATCATGTGCATAGTGGTTTCCAAAAAGTTATTAGCCCCCTAAACCTGAATCTGAAATTACCTTTATGATCTTTCTTACCACTATTACTTTGGGGTTCTAACCCCCCTCTTTCAAAATCCCCATTGTGAACAAATCTTTAATATTCATGAACTTTCAATATATTTATTCCTAAACTACCAACAATAACTATTGTCTATTGTTATTCTCAATGACTTTCCTGTCAATATGAAAGTTTTATACCTAGCTAAATACAATGTTGGAGCCAGTTGTAATGTATTTGGTTATGCAAACATTATTAGATTATATTTCTCATTAAGAATAATGTTGTTTTAATTCTAGATGGGTCATGCCTTGCTTTGTCAATGTGTTCTCTTATTGCTTACTAGTTATGGCAAATGTTAGGAAGACCTGTTTGTTGTAAAAAATAAAAAAAAACGTTAAAAAAAACCAGCCAAGCGTTACTTTGACCACATCTTTTCACATACGTTTTATTTGGGTCTTTTTTTTATTTACCATGTTGATTGCCTCCAGCCGATGGATGCTCGGTGCATGTAGAAAGAAAAATATAATGCAATTCAACCATTGATGGATGGTGACGAAAATAATGCCATTGCCAGTAGTCATGTTAAGGTTTTCAATGTTTTAGTGGTGGAGTTTATGGGTTTGCATGTGGCCGTGCATTATATATGATGCCTGAATAGGAAAGAGGATCTGATCATGCCTATTGGTATTCTTGATCAATTCTTGATTTAAAAAAAGACCCACAACTGTTTTGGGGTTAATTCCACATCTACTTGCATTGCTTGGTAGTGTATTAGCGTGGTATTAGACAACATAAATAATACAATTTAAGTCAAATAAAAATAAACCGTATTATCCTAAATTGAGACGTGAATAAAAATGGTGTTATCACATCAACAACAACAATCTTTCAGAATGTACCTGTTTTCAGTATAGAATGACATGTATACAGATTCTATTACAATTTTTTGTGTGTTTTCTTAGTGATTGTTCTT